TAAGTAGTATTTTGTAAATTGATTCATTTTATGTAATTTTGCTTCAAATCAAGCATAGTATACAGGAATTACATGGGAAACAGAACTTGAATGTCATCTTAACTACCTTTGAGGTGTTTGACTTTGGACACATGACTTTGAAAAGCATTCATTTCCTCATCTGCACATGACACAATGTATATTTTTACTTGTTATTCTACACACACACACACACACACACACACACTACTAGTCTTAAAGGACCATTGTGCTCACTAGTTTTATGTCAACTTGATACAAGCTGGATTCATCAGAGAGGAGGGAGCCTCTACTGAGAAAATGTCTTCATGAGATCTAGCTATAGGGCATTTTCTTAGTGATCAATGCAGAGGGCTCAGCCCATTATGGATCCTGGGTTGGTGGTGGTCCTGGGTTCTATAAGAAAGCAGGCTCAGCAAGTCAGTAAGCATCCTCCTCCTAGGCCTCTGCATCACCTCCTGCCTCCAGGTTCCTGCCCTGTTTGAGTTCCTGTCCTGACTTTCTTCAATGATGGAGGATGATATGGAAGTGTAAGCCTTTCCTCCCTGTGTTGTTTTGGTCATGGTGTTTCATCACAGAAATGGAAACTAACTAAGGCAAGCATCCTTCAGTGAGCCACACCTCCTAGAATCTACATCTGTGCATCAGATCTCCTCTTTGGTCCTGGCCCAATAGTTAACTTCTGACCCAAAGACTCGGTCAGGGCTCAGAAGGTGCAGTGCAACCTTCCTCGTTTTCTGTCCCTTTCGGATGCTCACCAGAACCTTCGTTTGCTTTCTCTGATAACTTGGGCTTACTTCCTCTTTCTCCAAGTCCCAGGCCATGCCATGAGGCTCTCTGCTGTGGATGGAGGCCTCCACACTGGTCAATGAAACAGCAAGGTTTTTTCCTTCTGCTTTTCCTCCTCTAGGTAGCTGCTGAGATCTATCTGCAGCTCACCTGCTCTGGGATGCTTTTCTTCTATACTCCAATAACCTTGTCTTAGAATTTAAAAAAGAATTGGGAGAGGTGACTCACTGACTCCTGAGGTATGCTTAAAAGAGGCCCTGCAGCTTCTCCCTTGGTGCCTTGGATCATTTTCTGTGGGGAAGAGGGCTGGCAGGTAAGAAGCCCCACTATTCTGAGATTGCTTTTCTCACCTCTGAGACTAACTGCCTGACAGGAAGTTGAGGGGAGGAGGATTAATTTGAGTCATGATTTGAGGATCTAGTCCATTGTGGTAGAGACTGCATGATGGCAGGAAATGCTCACAGTTGTGACATGGCAGTATGCTCACAGCTTAGTGGATCAGGAGACAGAGAGCAGACACAGGGAGGGGGGTGGAGGGGGGGGGAACTGGCTGTAAAATACCACAGCTTACCTCGAGTAACCAATTCTGTCAATAAGGCGCCACATCCTAAATGTCCCAACAACCTTCAAAATAGTGCACTATCTGGGGACCACACATTCAAAAACTGGAATCTATGGGGAGCAGTTCACATTCAAGTTGAGGAAACCCAGAATGGCCTGTGAAGAAGACCTGGGGAGAAGAAAGCTGCCAAAGCAGGGCTTAGATGCTGTGTCAAGCTCAGCTGAGAAGCAGACATGAGTGACGGCCATGTAGACACCGGGTACTGGTGGAGTTCCCAGATGTCTCTGGTTCTGGCCGTTTTGCATAACCAAACTAAAACTTTGAAAGACTTCTCATCTAAGCCCAGTTAACCGAGGTCCACGCGAGATAACAAATCATTGGTCAAAGCCCGGAGTTCAATGGTTCATTAAACAACAGTGGGTAGGCAGAATACATGATGATAACAACCACACCCACTATTGTCACTGAATAGAAATGCTGTGAAGATTGTATGAGGCGGTAAATTCAATCATACAGCAAGAAGTCAGTGAAATACAAAGATTAGTGTTGCTAAATTTAATTATACACCGTATTGAAGTCCTACTGAAGACTAACTCATGCTTTTGTTCCAAACATGTGTATTTTAAAACTCCAAGAACAAAGCAAGTATTTGCCTGTGGAAGGCAGGCCTACATACATGAGCCAAAAGCCCTAAGGATTTCTCGTCTCCCTCCCCTCTGCTCTGAGTCTTTTTCTCTAATTTCTTTCTATCTGGCTTGTTAGGCTGGTTTCAGCCCACTCTAGTTTCACCCGGGCTAGAATCCTATCTTCTGTGTTTAGGTTGTTCCTTTGATCTGCCAATATAAACCACTTAAAATTAATTACCACACACAGCCACGCTAGCTGCCTGTTGGCAGATACTGCCTCTCTCTGTCTTGCTCTCTTTCCAAACAGCAAGTGAATTTTCTTAATAAAGACGTCTATTAATCAAAGGGCCAGAAGCTCTTATTCTAGAGAACATTTTAACCTTAATGCACTTTACACAGTCATGTTCCCATGCTTTTCAGTGCATGCAAAGATATATTCATAGATGTGCCTTGGTCACTTGTCCAGTCGAGCTGAAGATGGGGAGAGGACATCAAGTCTCCCAAGCTGATGGTGATGAAGTTATGCAGATAAACTATGTAGCATGTATCTCTTTAAATCAGAAAGGGTTCATATTTAAAAGATTGTTTAATGATTCTAGTATCTGTGTCTGTGTGGATATGTTCAAATGTGTCTATTGATTATGTGTCTATGTGCATATGTCTATGTGCATGTATGTCATGTGCATGTGTGTCTATGTGCATGTGTATCTATGTGCATATGTGTGCGGTGCTTCAGGACGTCAGAGGTATCAGATCCCCTGGAGCTGGAGTTACGATGGTTGTGAGTCTTGCAGTGAGTGGTTGTGAGTCTATTCTTAGAATAGAACTTGGAGCAGGCTCTTAACCAATGAGCCATCACTCCAGCCCAGGACTTTTGTCTTTTGAGTCAGGACCTTCCTCTAACTGTCCTGACCCTCCCTATGTGGTCCAGGGTAGCCTCACGGCAATTGTCCTGTGTCAGACCCCACGTGCTGAGATTCTGAGCCTGAAGCACCACCCCTGGCCAGTCAGGAAGAATTTCCTACAGGACACCAGGCAGGCAGATGGCTTGCCTCCAGTGATCACTATGTGAGCCTCATAGCTAGCCAAAAGTAATCCAAGGCTGGAATTTGTATCCTGTTTCAGCAAAGTGAAGGGACTTCTTTCAGGGTTCCCAACTTACAATCAGGGAATAATGCTGTGACAGACATGGTTTTGGTCGGTCAAGAAAGCAAGTTCTGATGAAGTAAGTGACAGAAATAGGAATGCATGAGCATAGCCAGGGTAAATCTTTTCATTGGGATCTTAAGCAAGACGTTTTGTGATGTCCTTTGTGCTATTAATCTACAGCTCCCCGTGTACATCCTTGGGATGCTTATATATAAGCATGTTTGAGGATTGAGATACTTCAGATGAACATCCACATTCCAGCAACAAATGCCTTATCATTAAGCACATTCTTTTTGGTACACAATGTGTAAACAGTCTTTCTAAGTGGAATGAAGACTATACGATGATAGCCTCTTTCTAGTTCAGGCATACTAACTCAGCAAGTAAACAAGACAAAACAAAATAAAGGGTTAAGTTCAATGTATCGGTCAGTATTTACAGTTGTAGAGCTATCTGCAGACTATGAACATGAATTTTCTGTTCTGCTGCTGGGAATGCCATGCCTGTGTCTAGCATGACTTGCTCACAAGCTTTCTTCAGGCAGCTCACCTTGAACCATCATCCACATCTGCCTGTTTAGTCGTCTAGAGCTGGCATGCTCACAGAGGAAGGGCCTTGGCTGTGCTTTGAAGAAGACTTTCAAGCTTTTGGGACGACAAGCCCCTAAGCCCAGCTAATAAAATCTGTTATCTAAAATCCCTAAGGGTGAGAATAGAAAGAAAAAGAAATTAAAACGGAATAAAAATGTGCCTTCAACTCCACAAGAGCACACGTGATGAAGCCAGAGGCGTCTCATCAAGAAACTCAACGTTTTGATGAAGCAGTTTCATTTTGGAAGCTTTAGACTAACGAGACCTGCCTGAACCCCATTGTAAGGTTATCAAGGCAGTTGATGGGAGTGGAGTCCGTACATGAATATTAATGGCAGGCCTAATTATGATGCTTCTCCCCATCTCAGGCCCGGCCAGTAAGATAAGACTGGGTCCTGCCAAAAGAAGGAAAGAGTGTCCTTCAAGGACACATTCGTCTTGCTGTGTTTTCGTAATTGACTTTATTTTAGTTCTAAGTTTTAGATTTATTTTATTAATTCTTTCAGGATTTCTTTTTTCCTTTTATTGAAAATAGTTTTTTTCTCACATGACTTATGCTGATTACAGTTCCCCCTCTCAGATCCTCCTCCACTCCCCTCCCACCCAGATCCACACACCTCTCTCTCACTAGAAAATAAATATTATCCAAGGAATAACAGTAAAATAAGATAAAACAAGAACTAAAACATCATAGTAGGACAAAATAAACAAGGAAAACAGCACAAGAAATAGATGAAGATGCAGAGATTTATTCATTCACCCACTCAGGAATCCCAAAGACACTAAACTAGAAGTTGTGATAAATGTGCAAAGAACCTATAGGACAAGGAACCTCCAAAGATGTCTTTGAGTTTGTTTTCTATGGCATGTTGCCTGCTGTTAAGAGCAGTTTCCCCACTGAGACTCCATTGGAGAAAACTAATTTTCCATTTGAGAGTGGTTATCAACTGGAGATAGTTTCTGGGCATGTGTCCACTTCTTTTAGCTCTAAGACCCTGTCTTGCGCAGGCCCATGCAGGCCTGGTGTACACTGCCCCAGTCTGTGAGTTCGTAGTTGATCCTGTAGACTTAAAGGGCTTGTTTCCATGGTGTCCTCCATCCCCTCCAGCTCTTACACTCTTTCTACCTCCTCTTCCACAGGGTTCCCTGAGCCTAAGGGGAGGGATTTGAGGGAAAGGTCCCATTTCGGGCTGAGCATTCCCAGGTCTTTCACTCTCTGCATATTGTCTGACTGTGGGTCTCTTGATTTGTTCCCATCTGCTGTAGGAGGACCTTCTCTGATGACTGACGGCTGAGCAAGACACAGATCTGTGAGTAGAGCAGAATGTCATCCGTGTTCATTTTATTGCTATGTTCTTTTAGTAGAATAGTAGCATTCGGTTTTACCCTACATCTCTGGGCTGTGTAGTCTCAGGTTCTTGGTCAACGAAGCAGTGTCAGCTATGGGTTCAATCTTGTTGAATGGACCTTAAGTCACATCAGATATTGGTTGGTTACTCCCACAAGTTTTGTGCCACCATTGCACTAGCATGTCTTGTAAATAGGTCACCATTGTAGCTAGGTGTACCGTATTATACCAAAGATGCTGGAGCGTAAGGGTGAAGGGTCTATGTAGGCACCAGCTTGACTTATCCATGTCTAATGAGTTGTGAAGTTGTTCTCTTTAGCAACAGGGACTTGCAGTTTGTGGAGAGCAACCTGTATTCTTGTAAATAGCCTGGGCTATTTGGCGATTCCCAGAGGGACCCCTTTAGTCAACAACTCAATTAGATGCAATCCAATCCTGGTACTAGAAGCTTCATTTTGTGACAAGAAATGTCCAGTTTGGGCTCTGTCCCCCCCTATTATTTGATGATTTCTTTAGATTACCTTCATACATGTATATACTTTAGGAAACTTCTACTGTATTGGGTGTCCATACTAGCCTTCAAATGGCACTTAATTTTAGCTGTCTCTCCCCATATTTCCTCTCTCATCCCCCTCCCCACTTGGTCCTCCCATTTCAGTCTCCCCCATCCATCCATAACTATCAATTTTATTCCCCTTTCCTAGAGAAATCCATATGCCCACCCCTAGTCTCTTACTCAATACCTAATCTCCCTAGTTCTGTGGATTGCAGTGAATGATTGGTTATCATTGACCTAATAACTAATATTCACATAAAAAATGAATACATTTCATCGTTGTCACTCTAGGTCTGTGATATTTAGGAGTTTTTTTCTAGTTCCATCCACTTACCATTGAATTTCATGAATTAATTTTTAAAATATGGTTTCATTTTTAATGTGATTAAAAAACACATTTTCTATTCATCTGTTGAGGGACATCTAAGTTGTTTCAAGTTTCTGGTTATTAAGAATTGTTGCGACCACCTTGACCAGCAAAGAAGATGCGACTCGGGAACTCTTCTCCAAGCGGCTTATTCAGGAACCTTGAAACAGTCTTCTTCTCCCTTGGGGTAAGCCAGCCCACAGCTTATATGGCCTAGGCATAGGCAACCCTAGCACGCCACTTGGCGATAGCAGATAGGTACACACACACACACACACACACACACACACACACACACACACACACACACACACACACGGAAGCAAGCCGTGGACCCGAGCCTTGACCAAATATGGAGTTGTTTACTCCGAGAGCGCTCGGGAGGGTGGTAGGCAGAAGCCGGCGCCATCTTTAAGGCGCGGCACATCGCAGCTCTCCACAAAGAATGGAGAAGTAATGCACATGGTTGAGCAAGTGTCTCTATGGTAGGATGAAATGTCCTTTGTTTATATGCCCAAGTGGTTTGGCTGGATCAGGAGGTAGATTGACTTCATCTTCCTGAGGAACGGCCACGCTGGTTTCCGTGGTGGTTGTTCCAGTTTGCACTCCAACCAGTCATGGAGGAATGTTTACTCCATGCCACTGCATCCTCATGAGCACAACAGGTCACTTGGGTTTTCGATCTTTGCCATTTTGACCGGTGTAAGATGAAGTCTCAAAGCAGTTTTGATGTGCATTTCTCTGATGACTAAGAGTGTCGAACATTTCTTTAAGTGTTTCTCAGCCATTTGAGTTTCCTCTTTTGTGAATTCTGTTTAGAACTGTACTCCATTTTTTAATTGGGTTATCTGTTTTCTTGATGTCTAGTTTTTTTTAATATTAGCCCTCTATTGGATATGTAGTTGGTAAAAATCTTTTCCCATTCTATTAATCCTACTTATCACCAGCATGAAGTCTTTCAGTTTCTTTCTTCAGTATCCTAAAGTTTTTATCATATAAGTCTTTCCCTTGCTTGGTTAAGGTTACACAAAGATATTTTATATTATTTAAGACTATTTTGAAAGAAAGGTGTTATTCCCCTGATTTCTCAGGACAAACGGTCATTTTTCTTTTTTATAGGAAAGCTACAAATTTTTTGAGAGTTAATTTTGTATCCAGCTACTTTATTGAAAATTTTTATCAGCTGTAGGAGTTTACTGGTGGAATTTTAGGGTCACTTATATAGAATATAATATGTCTTCAAATAAAGATACTTTGACTTCTTCCTTTCTAATTTGTATTCCCTTGATCTCCTTTGGTTAACTTATTTCTCTAGCTAAATATCGAGTACAGTATTGGATAGTTATGCAGAGTGTAGACAGCCTTGTCTTGTTCCTGATTTTACTGGAAGTTCTTTGAGTTTTTCTCCATTTAACTTGGCGTTAGCTATGGGCTGACTGTAAACTGCCTTTATTATACTTAAGTATGTCCCTTGTATCCTTAATCTCTCTATGACTTTTATTGTGAAGGGATATTGGATTTTGTCAAAGGCCTTTTCTGCATCTAATGAAATGATTACGTGATTTTTTTTTGTCTTTCAGTTTTTTTATATGGTAGTTTCCATTTTTAGCTTTTCATATGTTGAACTAACCCTGCACCTCTGGGATAGTTAATCATGGCAGGTGATCTTTTTGATGTGTTCTTGGATTCAGTTTGTAAGTATTATTAAGAGATTTTGCATGTATGTTAATAAGGGGAGTTTGTTCCAATTCTCTCTCTCTCTCTCTCTCTCTCTCTCTCTCTCTCTCTCTCTCTCTCTCTCTTTGGGTCTTTATGTAGTTTGGGTATCAGGGTAACTGTGGCCTTGTAAAATGAGTTGGGCAATGTTCATTTCTTTTTTGTTGCTGTGATAAAATACTCTCATAAGAACAATGTAAGGGAAAGGGATTTGTTTCAGTTCGCTAGTCAAGGCACATGGCCCAAGAATGCAGGGAAGTCCTCCAGGGTGAAGGAGCTGGTCACACTGAGTCAATAGTCAGAAGTCAGCAGTGAATGCATGCTAACACTCCACTTGCTTTCTGTACTCTTATGCACTCCAGGGCCCCTTGCCTAGTGAATCATGCATATCGCTCTGTCTTCAAATGGTGGTAGTACATGAAATGTTTGCTTTGAGAATGAAGTGAGGCAGAAATAGTGCTTATTATGCATGACAGAAAAAAATAGTAGAATTGGTGCCAAGGAGAGGAACACATGCACATATTTCTTATTTTAAAATTTTTGTTGTGTAGCTCAAGCTGGCCTCAAACTCATAATCCTCCTGCTTCCATCTCTTTCAGCAAATCCAACTGCCATGCACCCTCACAACCAAACATGACCAGCAAAAAAAATCAACGAAATGATTCCTAATGATATTGATATTCTGCTATACTCATAAACCAGAGAGCCCCCTGAATATTTGTCACCAGAGAGGCTTCAAGCAGAAACTGATGGGAGCAGATGTAGAGACCCACAGCCAAACTTTAGGTAGAGTTCTAGCAATGCCTCTGAAGAGGGGAAGAAGGATTGTAGGAGTCAGAGGGGTCAAGGACACCAGAGCAACATTGCCCACAGAATCCCTGCTAAGCCGGGATTATAGGGGCTCACAGAGACGGAAGCAGCAGTCAGTGAGCCTGCATGGGTCTGATCTAGGTCCTCTGCACGTATGTTATGGTTGTGTAGCTTTGTGTTCTTGCAGGACACCTAACAGTGGGAAGTGTCTCTGATTATTTTTTTACTGATCTTGACATCCTTTTCCTTCTAATGGGTTGCCTAGTCCAGACTTATATGAGGGTTGTGCTTAGTCTTATTGTAACTTGTTATACTATGTTTGGTTGGTATCTCTGGTGGGCCTTCTCTTTTCTCAAGGGAAATGAAGGAGGAGTTGATCTTGGAGAAGGGGAAGGTGGGGAGAGGGACTGGAAGGTGGGGAGGGAGGGGAAACTTCAGTCAGGATATAATATATGAGAAAAGAATGAAGAAAAAAGAGAAAAAAGACAAAAACTGCTTTGTAGTCCATTAAAAACTGTGTTGTGTATGTGCACATGTATGTTCAGGTGTGCTCACCTATGCATGTGCACATGCACATGTATGAGTAGGTGGGCTCACCTGTGCATATGTATGTGTATGTGTGTGTTCAGGTGTGCTCACCTGTGCACATGTATGTGTACATGTGTGTTCAGGTGTGCTCACCTGTGCATGTGGAAGCCAGAGGTCATTGTCAGCTGAAGTGTCTTCCACTATTATTCAGACAGGGACCTTCTGAAATGGGAGCTTACCATGTCATCTAGCCTGGCTAACCTGCAAGTCCCCAAGACCTGTGTCCACCCTACTGCTCTGGGCTTATAGATACATGCCACTATCCCCAGCTGTTACATTGTTTCTGGGGATCCAAACTCAATTGCCTTTTACCCACTGAAGCCTCTCCTTACATCCCTCCATACCTTGAGCACAGGAAAAGTATCTGTAGTGAGCACAAGCATTTGGTGCGGACCAGGGTAGGTGTGTGGTTGCACTGTGAAGCAATCAGGAAATAAATAAAAGCAAGTGAAGAGAGTTGGGGGTGCAGCTCAGGTGTTAGAGCACTTCTTACCTGTCACAATGATGGGCTCAGTCCCCAGCACACCATAGGCCAGGTGTGACTGAGCATGTCTATAGTCCCAGCACTTGAGAGGCAGAGAGATGAGAATGAAGTTCAAGGCTATCCTCAGCTTCATATTCTAGTTAGGGGTCAGCCTGGGCTACATAAGGCCCTGTCTTTTAAAAATGAGTAAGGAGGCTGGAGAAATCGTAGATGCTTCTCAGAGGAAAATGTGATGCCAGAGGAAGAAAATAATTGGGAAGAAGAATTGATAGCTGAGAGCCAAGAGTCTTCCAAAACCATAGAGATTGCAAGTGTCCTATCACTATAAGCTGATTCATCCTTCTTTTTAATAATGTTTCCTAATGTGTATGCATGTCAGTGACTGAGGAGAACAGAGATGGCATTGGATCCCTGATGGGAGATGTCATTCTGTAAATCTGTCTCTCTTATTGGTTGTTGAATAAAAGCACTGTCGGCCAATAGGAAAGCAAGATAGGTGGGACTAGATGTCGAGGAGGATTCTGGGAAAGAGATGCACAGACAGACACAATGTAGGCCGCCAGAGGAGTAAGAGGTCTGGACCCTTTTCTCTGGTAAGAGAAATACTTAGATTAACAATTATGGGTTAAATACTTAAGTCAGAGCTAGCCAGTAAGAAACAAGCAAATGGCCAACAGCTTCATAATTAATATAGTGTCTTGTGTGTTATTTGGGGACTACAACTGTGGCAGGGCCCAGGCAGCTGGCGGGGAAGACTACACTCTACAGATCCCCTGAGCTGGAGTTCCAGGTGGTTGTGAGCACCCAACATGAGCACTGGGAATCAAATTTGGGTCCTGTGCAAGAGCAGTACACACTTAGCTAGCCCTCAGTATGTGTTAGAATAAGTGCCTTGATTTGGTATTCTCAAATCACTCAACTGACCTCTATTTTATCATGGTAACATATGATTGGCAGGAGAGTCTGGGGCAGGAGAAAAGAGGAAGTCAGTTGATAGAGATTGTAGAGGTCCCTGAACAGCACAAATAGGTCCTTAAAGTATTGTGCAATGGGAAATTCCAGCCACTTACTGGACCTAAGTGGCATGAGTTTAGGACAATGATTTCATCCAAATACAGGATGAGTGAGAGGGTAGAGAGTTGGGACAACGCTGACGGGTCAGTAGCTAAAGCCTGAGAGACAGAGTAGATGAGTAAGACAAGAGAGGTGTTAAACAAGAAGAGTGTGTGTTTACTAGATGTAGAGAAAAGAATGGAATTGCAAAGGAGAGTAAGATTAGATTCTAGGGGGGCTCACCTTTATCTGGGTAACAGCAGGAAGGCAGGGGTTTGGCGAGCAGAAGGCATTCCATTCTGTGTTCTAATTTTGAATGAGAGTTAGTTCATAGAGAGGCCTGAAGTGAGTATTAGAGCTGGTGGCTGGTGGTGGGGACTCAGCAGAGGTGACAGCCTATGGTGACAGAAAAAAAGTAGAAGGTGGTTAGATGCCTGAAGAGGTATAGAGACAAAGTGGCTAGGACTCACAGAGGAAGTTTGAGTCCAAATTTTCCACTCCACAGCCCACATGTCCCCCCCAACATGCAGAGTTCTCAGGTTCATCCATCCACACTGAGTGGCTGATGACATCTTAAGCAGGCATGCCACATAGATTTACATTTCAGTAGGGACAAAGACTTGAACTAAGAAATTTCGTCAATAAATTAGGAAGTATGAAAATGGTCAAGGGAT